GTGAGCTATCAGCAAGCATATGCCCAACCAGTAGTTAATTCGTTGCCAACCCCCATGATGCTCAACCAGCAGCAGAGTTATGCTATTGACGCAGTTTACAACTGCAATCTGCCACCCTTTTGGCGCTCTCATCCAGACCTATGGTTCCTGCAGATTGAATCAGTCTTTCAAGCCCACCGTATACAGTCCGATAGCACCAAGTACTATCAGTTGGTAAAATACTGGACCCGGACACAATCACGGAAGTTGCAGACATCTTGAAGGCTCCACCATCTCAAGATAAGTACCAAAATCTCAAGTCTAACCTAATAAGTAGACTAACAGCCTCTGAAGACTCTCAGATGCACAAACTGCTCACTGATCTAGAACTAGGTGACCGAAAACCCTCACAGTTGCTTCGTGAGATGCGAGCCCTTGCCGGCAAACGTGCTACAGAAGACGCGCTCCGCATACGATGGCTGGCCCTTATTCTGCCTGTCAGCATTCAGCACTTGCTGAAAATTTTCAAGGCCAATTCACTTAACGAACTAGCTGCTGCAGCTGATGAGCTCATGACAAACATCCCTGGTGGCCGTGTCCTGGCCGTCAACTAGAGCCCTCGCTAGCATGGACATGGTTCTTCAGTAGCCTCCGAGCTGAACGAACTCAGACAAGCCATCACAGAACTAACCATTGCTCAGAAGGACCTCACTTCTGCCATCAGACAGAGTCTCACCTCTACCAGTCGACAACCACGTGAGCGTTCTGTCACTTCTGGAGAATGCCGATATCATCGAAAATTCGGTGCCCGGGCCCAAAAATGTGTGCAACCCTGCACATCTCAGCTGCCACTAGCATCTCCGCGCCAGGAAAACTAAACATGCTGTCGCCTGTTCAGGTGGTAAGCGACAGCAACGTCAACAGCACCTGTCTCCCATCTAAAGAAAGTCGCCTGCACGTCACAGACAAGGTCACTGGCATAAAGTTCCTTATCGACAGCGGTTCCGTTGTATTCTTGATTGCAAGAAGCTTCTTTCAATGAAAACTTCTGCCTGCTGACCTCATGCTATATGCGGCCAATGCAACAGTTATCAAAACGTATAGTCAACACTTTCTTAACCTCAATTTTGGACTCCGAAGATCCTTCAAGTGGGCATTTATCATTGCAGACGTCAAATCAGCAATCATAGGTGCCGACCTGCTTTCACATCATGGCCTCCTTCCCGATTTAAAGCATAAGCGTCTTCTGGACTCTCTCACCTCACTGTCTTCTCCTGCTGAGATGCATGAAACCGAACTTCATACTGTTTCCACTGTCAATATTGCAGAATATGCACCTCCTACACTCAGTCAACCCTATAGCAAGTTGCTGGAAGAGTTTATTGACATCACCCGTCCAAGGTCAGCCCCATCAGTGGACGCCCCTACGGGAACTCATCACCGCCAGTCAATGACCGTCCACGTCGGCTAAACTCGGAGAAACTAAAGATTGCTAAAGAGGATTTCGACCTCCTGTTGCATCATGCAGTCATCCCTCCAGCAGTCCATGGGCCAGTCCTCTACACATGGTCCAGAAAAAGCAAGGTGGATGGCGTTCCACAGGTGATTTTAGGAGGCACAATTCCCAGACTGCCAGATCGGTACCCCATACCACTACCAGAAGACATTTTTCAGCGGCTGCATGGGAAAAGTGTCTTCACTGTCATTGACCTGGTTCGAGCTTACCACCAAATTCCTGTAGCACCAGAGGACATACCCGAAACAGCGATAACTACTCCTTTTGGGCTTTTTGAGTGCCTGGGTATGCCTTCAGGCCTGCACAATGCCACTCAGACATTTCAACGTCATATGGACAATCTTCTCCGTGGTATTGACTTCGCAGCATGCTACATTGATGACTTGATAGTGTTCTCGGATTCCCATGAGGAACATCTACGCAAAATCTTTAATGTTCTGCGTGAGAACAAACTCACTATCAACCTCAGCAAGTGCCAAATCAACAAGTCAGAAGTTCTGTACCTCGGCTACTCCATCAACAAGCTCGGATACAAACCACCTGATTCCAAGATCCAAGCCATCGCTTCTTACCCCAAGCCAGAGACCATCTCTGACCTTCGTAAGTTTTTGGGAATGCTCAATTATTACCGTCGCTGTATTCCAAAGGCCACTGAACTTCGAGCCCCTCTCAATGCATTTATGAAGGCTGCCAAGAAAAAAGACAAACGGCCCATCCCTTGGACACCCAGCTCGGAGAAGGCCTACCAAGACTGTGTAGAAAGCATTGTCAAAGCGACGTGTACCAGCTTCATCTCACCCTCTGCAAGTCTCGCCCTCGTCACTGATGCCTCGGACTTTGCCATTGGAGCTGCACTTGGAACAGCTGATCGACGACTGCTGGAAGCCCATAGGTTTTTTTTCCCGCAAGTTGAGTCCCACCGAAACGCGATACAGCACCTACGATCGCGAGCTGTTAGCGATTTTCGCTGCAATAAAGTTCTTTCGTCACCAGCTGGAAGGACGCCAGTTCATCATCAAAACTGATCATCGCCCACTGGTATACGCCTTTGCTCAGGGCGCTGAAAAAGCATCCCCCAGGCAGCTCCATCAACTGGACTTTATTTCACAATTCAGCACAGAAATCGTCTATGTCAAGGAAGAACACAACGCCGTTGCTGACGCCCTGTCTCGTATTAAGACTATCTGCATGCCAACGTCACTGTCTCCTAAAGCCATCGAAGCCGCACAGCTTGAAGATCAAGACACGCCACAAGAATTATCGTTCAATCTGCAACAGCTTGTTATTGAAAACGTCAACGTCCTCTGCGATGTCTCTTCAGATCGCATCAGACCCTACACTCCGACAAGTCTCCGACGCAAAGCTTTTGACGTTGTGCATGGTTTGGCACACCCCAGCGGCCGAGTCACTGCTCGAAAGAAAAGTTTGTTTGGCCTGAAATCAAGAAAGACGCCCTCCAGTGGTCCCGCCAATGCATTCAGTGTCAAAAATCCAAAATTCAACGACACAATCGTCTCGCACCACAGCACATCACCGTACCTGACAACAGATTCGAGCATATTCACGAAGACCTCATCATTTTACCACCAGTCAACAAATTTCGTTACTGCTTAACCATAATCGATCGATTTTCTAGATGGCCTGTTGCAGTACCCCTCCAGAACATGGAAGCTGACACCGTCTCGTCTGCTCTCTATGTCAATTGGATTTGCAACTACGGAACGCCACTATCCATCACAACTGACCAGGGCACGCAATTTGAGTCCACTATTTTCGGCCCTTGCACGCCTTGTAGAAGCGCGGGTAATCCACGCCCTATCACCCGCAGTCCAATGGCATCGTAGAGCGCTTCCATAGGACTTGGAAGGCAGCCCTTATGTGTCAAGCACCCACGCCCTGGACGGAAGTGCTTCCGACCGTTCTTCTGGGTCTGCGTTCGTGCCTGAAAGAAGACCAGCGGAACCCCTTTATGGGACACCCCTGCGTATACCAGGTGAATTATTCACCTCTGAGTCACCCCCAGCTGATCGCCAAGTCTTCCTCGAAAAATACCAGGACCACATCAGGAAAGTCCGCCCAACACCTACGGCTCACCATATCAAATCTCGCTGCTTCATCCTCAAGGACCTCGCAACTTGCAGTCATGTCTTCCGCCGAGTGGACTCTGTTCGTCTCCCGCTCGAACCGCCTTACACTGGCCCGCATGAAGTCGTCAAGAGAATAAATGACCGAGTGTACAGCATTCGAATCAATGGCATTGAGAAGACTGTCTCTGTGGACGCCCTGAAGCCAGCCTACTCCCTTAAACCCGATACCGTTTCATCCACCCTGGAGAATCACCCAGCGTCATCCTTCACCATAGACCGCCCTCTTCGCACTTACTCAAAAAAGAAGGTTTCGTTCCTCCCACAAGTGGCTTTGCACTGGGAGGGGAGGGGAGTAGATGTGGCGTCGTTCCGCGAGTCGGTTGTGTTCAACCCTGGATGGCTCAACTATTCTGTACAACCCTGGCGGCCTGACGTGACGTGACGTGACAGAAGACAGCTGTCCCAGGTTGTTGTTTACTTCAAGTCAGCCTTGTTGCCGCCGATTGTCATCTCGTGTTGTTGTTAACAAAATAAAAGTATTTCGATTTATTTGTATGTTCAGTGCCCAGAATTAAACCGAGTTGTTAGTAAAACAGTGTTTTCATTCGCTGGTGATATATCAAGCAAACACGTAGCAGTAGTAGCTATATGCTGATAAATTGCAACGCCACCTTGCGGTTGTTCGCGATAAAAGTAAATCTAATCTTTGGCTCTGAAATTTTTTTGAAATCTTGACACACTCATGAATAATTGTCCATATTGTCAACTACTTAAGTAAATACCACTCTGTACATCAATTTTACTAAAGTGTGTCGACGAGTCAGCATTTATTTGGTATAAATACAGCGCCGAAATCCATTACCGGCAGACTAAAGCTAGTGCGAACTACCTCTTATGGGAAAAGCCCCTCTAGCTAAGTCTCCTCCCAGTGCAAATTACCTTTATCGGGAAACGCCCCTCTGGGAGTATTGAACGCCGCAGACTAGGTCCAGTACAAACTACCTTTAATGGGAAACGCCCGTCTGGACCTGTCTCAAACCTAATTTTCAGTCTTCAGTCACGCCAAGTCTACAGAGGATACATAATTAATACAGAGTGGCCCATGAGTAGTACGTCCCTCCGTAGAAGAAACGGCATGATACCATTTCTAGGGTAATACTATTATTAACCAATACACGCCCCCAAGTCACGCTCCTGTTGTGACGTCCCAGGACGAAACATATAGGGATTGTGACAATATCTTCCATGACTTTTGAGAAAATTATAATTAAACATCATTGAAAAGAGTATTAAATTCTCTATAAGCCCTACAAAATTGGTTATTGTAGCTTGTGGAATTCCTAAGATATCGAGCCCTCTAGAAAGAAGAAAAGACACTTGCTTTTACCCTTTTGCATGGTCTAATTTTAGATTATACCTTCAGTTTCAGAATCTCCAAAATATTAGTTTCCAATACTTCACTATAATCAAAACTTATTAAATATAGCTACCACTTGAACATAGTCATAGACAAAGCCATAAGCGCCTGCCTGGAAATATTCAGCACCGTAACAGCCCTATTTCCAAAATTCGCCGCCAACGGCGGCTGCCCCAGGCAAAACATGGCCCTGCAAAACATCCAGGCCCGCCTCAGAATGGTACTAAGCTACTTATTTGCTCAGTTAGTACTGTGGGCCAGAGGCCGCCCTGGCGGATTATTAGTACTGGGCTCAGCCAATGTAGATGAGGCTTTACGAGGATATATGACTAAATATGATTGTTCTAGTGCCGATATTAATCCTATTGGTAAACTCAGATTATATTTAATTTTTGTTTTTAAATAAATAAGATTATTTTAGGTGGCATATCAAAAACCGATTTACGTAAGTTTATTGTGTATGCAAAAGACAAATTTCAAATTGGTATTTTGGGGGAAATTTACCAAGCGCCTCCAACAGCTGAATTAGAGCCTTTAGTGCAAGGTAAAATAGCTCAAACTGACGAGCAAGATATGGGAATGAGCTACAATGAGCTGAGCCAGTTTGGCCGTTTGAGAAAAGTTGAAAATTGTGGCCCTTTTTCAATGTACTGTAAATTGGTCCAAACTTGGTCCGATACTTGTAGTCCTAAGCAAGTTTCTGAGAAGGTCAAGCACTTTTTTCGGTATACGTGTACTTACTATTTTTCCTTAACTTTACTAAATCATTCTTCCAGCTGCTACGCTATAAACCGTCACAAAATGACAGTTCTAACTCCGTCCTATCACGCAGAAAGCTACAGCCCAGATGATAACCGATTCGATTTGAGACCCTTTTTATACCGAGCCAATTGGTCTTGGCAATTTAGAGCTATAGACAAACAGGTAAGCGATTTTTCCTTTTAATTTACCAGAGCCGGATTCATATTGGAGGTTTTAGCTGGACTATTTGACCAGCGCGAAACGAAGTTCCTCGAGCAGCGGCAACGTTGCCAAAAAATCAGGCAGCACCAAAATACGTACCGGAGTTACCGTATAGTATAGGGCTTTTGTGTAATAAGCACTTGACAACCTCGCCATATCACTTGATTTTTCTAGCATTTTTTTCCAATTTAGTCTTTAAGTAATAACTGAATATTGTTAGAAGTTTGGGACACAATCTTGCAACTCCAAAGTTTTCCAGGCAGTGTTGCAAGTTTGTGCAATAAATTAAAAAACAAAACAACTTTGTAGCGCACAAAACAAAACAAGTAGATATTTATTAAGTAGATAAAATAAATAAAGCCCCCTTTACAATTATTTAGGCTCGTTTTTTTAGCCTAATCACCATCCCACTAGCTGAATACAATACCAATCTTGCAGTAAGTTTCAAACTATGTTCCGGTACTTTTAGGATTTCGAAATTCCTAATCAAGTTAGACAGGAGGCATTTCATTTCCAGAATTGCAAAGTTTTTGCCTTAAAATAATAGGAATTGCAAAATTAATAAAACAGTTATTGTAAATCTTACCTACGCAATTTCTAGGCTTGACACCAAAAGGCATATAAGTGAATTTGTCAGGTTTTGAAGCGAATCTTTCAGGTATAAATTTTCCGGGTTCTGGAAAATAATCTGGATTAAGGTGGATTGCGTTTAGGACTACGTTAACGTGAAGGCCAGCTGGGATTTTTTTGTTTTCTGCAAATTAGTGGATAATAATTGGTAAGTTGAATTTTAAGGTAAGTTTACCAAAATTAAGATTCTTGGTGATTTTTTTGGAAATGCATGGGACGATTGTGTGTAGCCTTAAAGTTTCCTTTATAACCATTTCCATGTAAGACATTTCCAGTAAGTTTTCGTAAGTTGCTTCGGTAAGTTTTGAGCCGTTGAAAATTTCATGTTGTTCTTTAAGTAGTTTTTCCTAGAAATTAAGAGATGTTAATTCTTTATTTGGGAAATTCTAGATTTATCGGGCGAATATTCTGGATAACCATCGATATACTCTGTATCGCATAGAATAAATTTATATAACTCTGATTCACTCTATAATAAACTCCTCAATAAATTGAATGAGAGATTTGCAGATAAATTCATTCACTCTTATTCTGATCAGAATCATACTTGAACGAGTTCCGCAGCCATTAATTCTTGAAGTTAATGGATAAATGATACACTGGAAGAGATTTTTAGTAGAAGATATATAATGTAAAATGTGAAATAACAAGAAAAACTGTCTATTGTTGCGGAAACTTTAAAGGTGTCAACATAGATGGTGTCAAGGGGCAAACCGCCTAGGAATTCTTTGCCAAAAATGTGGGGAATTTCGAGGAATTTGTAGGGAATTTGTAGGAACTTATCCGAATTTATGAAAATTTGGGGAATTTATAAGGAATTTGGAGGAATTTATGGGGAATTTGGGAGAATTTGTGAGGAATTTATGAGGAATTTAAAGGAAATTGTCAAATTTAAAAAATTCAAAAGAATAATGAATACAGTTTTTGTAGGTTGATTTCCAAGATTTTTCATATTACTGTTTTTCACTGGAAAAATTTGAAATTTTGAAAAAATAATCTTTTCACCTTCCTCTTTACATGCAAAAAGTTTCAAAATTTTCCCTTCACTAGTTTTCCAGGAAAACTCTGAAATATGTGAGACTGTATTTTTAATTAATTCAGTTATTGTAAGTTGATTTGCAATATTTCCCATATTGTTATTTTCTACTGGAAAAATTTGAAATTTTTGGAAAATTAGCCTTCGACCTTTCTACTCTTCACATGCAAAAAGTTTCAAATTTTTTGCCTTCACTAGTTTTCCAGGAAAACTTTGAAATGTGTGAAACTGTATTTTCAATTAATTCAGTTATTGTACGTTGATTTCCAGTATTCCTCATGTTGTTATTTTCCACTGAAAAAATTTGAAATTTTGGGAAAATGAGCTTCTCATCTTCCTCTTTACATGCAGAAAGTTTCAAAATTTTTCCTTCACTAGTTTTTCAGAAAAACTTTAAAATGTGTGAGACTGTCAATTAATTCAGTTATTGTAGGTTGATTTCCAATATTCCTCATGTTGTTATTTTCCACTGGAAAAAATTGAAATTTTGGGAAAATGAGCTTCACTCCTTCCTCTTTACATGCAAAAAATTTCAAAATTTTCCCTTCCCTAGTTTTCCAGGAAAACTCTGAAATATGTGAGACTGCATTTTCAATTAATTCAGTTATTGTAGGTTGGTTTCCAATATTCCTCATGTTGTTATTTTCCACTAAAAAATTGAAATTTTGGGAAAATAAGCTTCTCGCCTTTCTCTTTACACGCAAAAAGTTTCAAAATGTTCCCTCCACTAGTTTTCCAGGAAAACTTTGAAATGTGTGAGATTGTATTTTCAATTAATTTAGTTATTGTAGGTTGATTTCCAAGATTTTTTATGTTGCTGTTTTCCACTGGAAAATTTTGGGAAAATGAGCTTCTCAGCTTCCTCTTCACACGCAAAAAGTTTCAAAATTTTCCCTTCACTAGCTTTCCGGGAAAACTTTAAAATATGTGAGATGTAATTTCAACTAATTCAGTTTTTGTAGGTTGACTTCCAAGATTTTTCATGTTGTTGTTTTCTACTGGAAAAATTTGAAATTTTGGGAAAATGAGCGCCTCACCTTCCTCTTTTCGTGCAAAAAGTTTCAAAATTTTTCCTTCACTAGTTTTCCAGGAAAACTCTGAAATATGTGAGACTGTATTTTCAATCAATTCAGTTATTGTAGGTTGATTTCCAATATTCCTCATGTTGTTATTTTCCACTAGAAAAATTTGAAATTTTGGAAAAATGAGCTTCTCACCTTCCTCTTCACACACAAAAAGTTTCAAAATGTTCCCTTCACTAGTTTTCCAGGAAAACTTTGAAATGTGTGAAACTGTATTTTCAATTAATTCAGTTATTGTAGGTTGATTTCCAATATTCCTTATGTTGTTATTTTCCACTAGAAAAATTTCGAAATTTTGGGAAAATGAGCTTCTCACCTTCCTCTTCACACGCAAAAAGTTTCAAAATGTTCCCTTCACTAGTTTTCCAGGAAAACTTTAAAATGTGTGAGACTGTATTTTCAATTAATTCAGTTATTGTAGGTTGATTTCCAATATTCCTCATGTTGTTATTTTCCACTAGAAAAATTTGAAATTTTGGAAAAATGAGCTTCTCACCTTCCTCTTCACACACAAAAAGTTTCAAAATGTTCCCTTCACTAGTTTTCCAGGAAAACTTTGAAATGTGTGAAACTGTATTTTCAATTAATTCAGTTATTGTAGGTTGATTTCCAATATTCCTTATGTTGTTATTTTCCACTAGAAAAATTTCGAAATTTTGGGAAAATGAGCTTCTCACCTTCCTCTTCACACGCAAAAAGTTTCAAAATGTTCCCTTCACTAGTTTTCCAGGAAAACTTTGAAATGTGTGAAACTGTATTTTCAATTAATTCAGTTATTGTAGGTTGATTTCCAATATTCCTTATGTTGTTATTTTCCACTAGAAAAATTTCGAAATTTTGGGAAAATGAGCTTCTCACCTTCCTCTTCACACGCAAAAAGTTTCAAAATGTTCCCTTCACTAGTTTTCCAGGAAAACTTTGAAATGTGTGAAACTGTATTTTCAATTAATTTAGTTATTGTAGGTTGATTTCCAAGATTTTTTATGTTGCTGTTTTCCACTGGAAAATTTTGGGAAAATGAGCTTCTCAGCTTCCTTTTTACAAGCAAAAAGTTTCAAAATTTTCCCTTCACTAGCTTTCCAGGAAAACTTTAAAATATGTGAGATGTATTTTCAACTAATTCAGTTTGTGTAGGTTGATTTCCAAGATTTTTCATGTTGCTGTTTTCCACTGGAAAACTTTTAAATTTTGGGAAAATGAGCTTCTCACCTTTCTCTTAACATGCAAAAAGTTCCAAAATTTTCCCTTCACTAGTTTTCTAGGAAAACTTTGAAATCTGTGAGACTGTATTTTCAATTAATTCAGTTATTGTAGATTAATTTCCTAGATTCCTCATGTTGTAATTTTCTACTGAAAAAATTTGCAATTTTGGGAAAATGAGCTTCTGACCTTCTTCTTTACATGCAAAAAGTTTCAAAATTTTCGCTTCACTAGTTTTCCAGGAAAACTTTGAAATGTGTGAGACTGTATTTTCAATTAATTCAGTTATTGTAGGTTAATTTCCAAGATTTTTCATGTTGTTGTTTTCCACTGAAAAAATGGAATTTTGGGAAAAGGAGCTTCTCACCTGTTTCTTTACACGCAAAAAGTTTCAAAATGTTCCATTCACTAGTTTTCAAGGAAAACTTTGAAATGTGTGGGATTGTATTTTCAACTAGTTCAGTTTTTGTAGGTTGACTTCCAAGATTTTTCATGTTGTAATTTTCTACTGAAAAAATTTGAAATTTTGGGAAAATGAGCGTCTCACCTTTCTCTCTACATGCAAAAAGTTTCAAAATTTTCCTTCCACTAGTTTTCCAGGAAAACTCTGAAATATGTGAGACTTTATTTTCAATTAATTCAGTTATTGTAGGTTGATTTCTAATATTCCTCATGTTGTTATTTTTCACTAGAAAAATTTGAAATTTTGGGAAAATGAGTTTTTCACCTTCTTCTTTTACACGCAAAAAGTTTCAAAATGTTCCCTTCACTAGTTTTCCAGGAAAACTTTAAAATGTGTGAGACTGTATTTTCAACTAATTTAGTTTTTGTAGGTTGACTTCCAAGATTTTTCATGTTGCTGTTTTCTATTGGAAAAATTTGGAATTTTGAGAAAATGAGCGTCTCATCTTCCTCTCTACATGCAAAAAGTTTCAAAATTTTCCCTGCACTAGTTTTCCAGGAAAACTCTGAAATATGTGAGACTGTATTTTTCAATTAATTCAGTTATTGTAGGTTGATTTCCAATATTTCTCATGTTGTTATTTTCCATTAGAAAAATTTGAAATTTTGGAAAAATGAGCTTCCCATCTTTCTCTTTACATGCAAAAAGTTTCAAAATGTTCCCTTCACTAGTTTTCCAGAAAAATTTTGAAATGTGGGGACTGTATTTTAAACTAATTCAGTTTGTGTAGGTTGATTTCCAAGATTTTTCATGTTGCTGTTTTTCACTGGAAAACTTTTAAATCTTGGGAAAATGATCTTCTCACTTTCCTTTTTACATGTAGAAAGTTTCCCTTTTTTTAGAGGAATTTGTGGGGTATTTGGAAAAGTTCATGGTGGGGTATTTAGAGAAATTTGTGATGGGGTATTTGGAGGAATTTGCAGGAATATTGAGGAATTATGCGAAAAAAATTCCCCTTTGAGGAATTGTTTGCACCAATTCTGTGATGGTGGTTTACCTACCCCTTGCATTTAACAGACACGTTATGACCTCTGACATCTATGATTCAGATGCATGGAAAAGGTATCAAAAATGCAAAGAACAGACAAAAAACCGCAACAAATCCAGACTATTTAATAGAAGACCAATGGATTCCAAGGAAGAAAATTTCTGCTGGTGCAGAAGTAATAACATTTACTAAGCACAGGAAATTCTAACACTCAAAGGGGCAAAAGCATCTAAGAAAAATAGGAAGGATAATAATTCAAAGGTTGAAGAAACATGTGTTGCTAGTACTAGTGGTATTAAGCATAAAAGCAGTGACAAAAAATTAATAAAGAAACATAGAAAAAGACTGGAATCATCTTCAAGTTCCGAATTTTCAAATACAGAAGAACCCCAGTATATATTGACACGGATGACAATATAGATCCTGAATGTGACTATTCGGAAGACTTACCATACAAAATTTGCACAAAGAAGAAGTGGGGAAAAATATGTGTCAACAAGCCAACCACAATAATACAGACATAAATTTGGGAGCCGAATCCGACGATTAACAGAAAATTTGACGTTGATTTTAAACCT